GCCGTTGGTAGCCGGTTGTTAGCCGGTTGGTAGCCGGTTGGTAGCCGTTTGTTAGCCGGTTGTTAGCCGATTGTTAGCCGTTGGCAGCCGGTTGTTAGCCGGTTGTTAGCCGTTGTTAGCCGGTTGTTAGCCATTGGTAGCCGGTTGAAAGCCGGTTGTTAGCCGGTTGTTAGCCGTTGGTAGCCGGTTGATAGCAGGTTGTTAGCCGGTTGTTAGCCGGTTGTTATCCGGTTGTTATCCGATTGGTAGCCGGTTGTTAGCCGTTGGTAGCCAGTTGATAGCCGGTTGTTAGCCGGTTGTTAGCTGTTTGTTTTATGTCAGGTTCAACTGAATATATATAGCATACCTTATAGGTATAGCTCATTTGATGTTTAGCATCCGACATGTTTAAATGTAAAATCTGTAGTGCTGCGTTTACCTGTCGCAGCAGCTTAAGTCGTCATACGAATAGACATAGATAAAAAATTTGAGTGTAATTTATGCAACGACCGTTTTACAAGGAAAGATAGCTTGAACACTCACATAACGACCGTTCATAAAGATAAACACTTGACATCATCATATGGAGAAAGCAGCGAAACAATTGCGAAAGATGAGAACAATACCTGCAATAGAAAATATATATACAGACCTCTCGACTGCAATGACGAGATAAACTGAGGTCGATGACCTTGACATTACCTTGTCCCCAGATGGCCAGAGGTCATGACTTTGACACGACATTGGCGTGACCTTGACTCCAGACGACTAACGGTCGATGACCTTGACGTGACCTTGTCCCCAGACGACCAGCGGTCATGACCTTGACATAACCCTGGCGTGGCCTTGACCCCAGACGACCAGAGATCGATGACCTTGACGTGACCTTGTCCCCAGACGGCCAGAGGTCATGACCTTGGCCCCAGACGACAAGAGGTAGATGACCTTGACGTGACCTTGTCCCCAGACGACCAGAGGTCATGACCTTGACATTACCTTGGAGCGACCCTTGCCCCGGACGACCAGAGGTCGATGACCTTGACCCCAGAGGACCAGTTGTCGATGACCTTGACTTGGCCTTGTCCCCAGACGACCAGAGGTCATGACCTTGCATGACCTTGGAGTGACCTTGGCCCCAGACGACCAGAGGCCGATGACCTTGACATGACCTTGACGTGGCCTTGTCCCCAGGCGACCAGAGGTCATGACCATGACTTGACCCCAAACGATCAGAGGTCGATGACCTTGACGTGATCTTGGTCTAGAATGATACAATACCTGATAAGAATGATGCAATGCTGTTTAGAGGTCATTGCCCTCGAATGATGCAATACCAGTTAAGAATGATGCAATGCTGTTAAAGGAAATAATATGTCAAGTTAAAGTTTATGCTAGCGTGGCAGTATTAAAGGAAATAATATATCAGGTTACAGTTTATGCTAAAAAAAACAGGTATGAACTTGTAGAAACTTGACCTCGAATGCTGCAATACCAGATAAGAATGACGCAATGCTGTTTGGAGGTCATTGACCTGCCCTTATTGTGATTGAATTTGAAATTTACCACCAACTGGCCATCTGACGTCACTTCCATGCCGCCATGATACTTCTTGTATGATGATACTTCCATGCCGCCATGATACTTTTTGTATGACGTCACTTCCATGCCGCCATGACACTTCTTGCATGCCAACACCCACGCATCTCTTGCACAACGACAATGCCTACAAGAAGCCGCTGAAGGAGCGATGGACACTGACCATGTGACTTTGACCCCATGTGACCTTGACCCCAGGTGACCTTGACCTAGGCGACCTTGACATCAGGTGACCCTGACCCTAGACGACCTTGACCTCAGGTGACCTTGACCTCCAGGCGACCTTGACATGACCTTGGGGTGACCTTGACCCCAGGTGACCTTGCCGCGTCACTTCCTGGTCCAGAACCGGCCTATTATATCTACTATCAGAGAAATCCATGCGATCCAAAGTCTTCCAATAAAGTATTTTTTGTGTTTAATTTTGGAGAAAATCATAAAGAACTAGACTTACAAACTAGACTTGTATCAAGGTTTGCTGCCAATTGATGGTAAAAAATTAAGCGGTGTTTTGGGTCTGTGTAAGGCTAATTTGATACCACCGATGTATCATGGATTTTACAACTTCCTTCGGCCTGCTAGTAAGACTGACCACCAGGAAGAAAGTAATATTGACCAAGATGACTCTGACTCTGAATCGTAATAAATTTTCCTTTTATGTCAATATTGATTATTAACAATTATTTTTTTATCTAAAAATAGAAATTCTTTAATTTTTCTGCACCTAATTAGTGTAGCAAGTTGTTTCTCAATAACAATTTTGTCGACGAAAACTGTAGTAACTCATTCAAAATCCATTTTTCTCTTACCCTAAACTATTTTATTTAGATCATCAATAATTAATTAAGACCTAAATAATAATTACTTTATTAAAGAAGAACGATTTAGCTCTTGTAATAAAAAAATAACGAACATTATTATTTTCTCAACTATTCAAATGCAATTATCTCAGTATAACCAAATTTGAGATACGACAGTTTTCCTTGGGAGAGTCGATATGATAACAGACAAAACCAAATAGGCCCCGATTTCGATTTTTCCCGACGGCCCCTGAAAGAGCCAGACCGGGCCTGACACTACCCGCCGATCGTCTTATTACCCATTTGCACACTGTTCTCACTTCAGCTGCCTATCTTCGACCAACTAGGCTTCCTTCCAGAATTCCGTACCTAGGCGTTTGTTTTTTGTGCTTCCTTCTACCAACCGTTAATATTACTTTTTCATTATTTTACAACACCCATGTAACAGGTGACGTCGAAGTTGATAAGATAAGTACGGTTTTGCACAAGTTGACACATATAAAGGTTCTAGTGCACATGTTTTTCTTGGTATACAAATACTTACCAAGTGCAGCAACTAATTTTTGAATGCCGATTTCTCTGTTAACGATAATTTCTGCAAGCAAGTTTGTTTTGTAATATGAAATCTTGTTCAAAAATTAAACTTGTCTATAGTATACAAATGGTCAGACCGTATGCAACGTAATCTAGGAAACCCATAACCTACAATTTCTGAAATATGTAGGTCATCGTCAAATATTTATTCGAATATCAATTTTTTATATTTTACTTTGAAATTAATAGTACAAGTCATAAGCACAGTAAGACTAGATCTACATGCATGCGTGATCACGGATTCATTGTAACCACGTGACCATCAACATCCAATTGTGCAACAGTAAAAGCGGTTTGACACTCCGTCCTGATCAAAACGGATTAGATGCTGATGGACACGTGGTTACAAAGGATCCGTAATCACACATGTGTGTGGATCCAGGCTAACACACACATATCTACTCCGTAGTTCTTAAATTAAAAAACATCTTATGTAACTGTTAAACGGAAGCTTAACTTTAAGTATCTGTTTTCATACCTTAGCGAACGGTGCAGCTAATCTTTGTTAAAGTAATGCAACTTTAGTACATACAAACATTAATGTTTATTGTTTAATAATCGATTTATAAATGCAAAATGTATACAATATAATTTGTAAGAAACCACAATAAAACTCGCTTATTTTCTTCTATTATTATCCTGCAGACTCAAACAAGAGTGAACAATTATAATGGGAATTGATAAGCCATGGAAAATATGTATGTAAGTAAGTATATGTAAAAAAATCGTTACCGCACTCAAAATGCAATTGCTGCATATGTTGATAAATTGTTTGTCATATTTATGTTTTGTTTTGGTTCGTCCTTTAACGAATTCTATAACAATCTACTCATGCGAGTTTTTAAATATCGCTCTGTTTGTTTCAGAACCAGTTCTTAATAAGATACATGTTTTTGTTTTATTCATAATCAATTTGTAGTGTGCAACAGTTTTTGAACTGTTCAAACGGTTCTTGCATAACAGCAGGTGCTAGTTAGTTCTGAGTTCGAAATTCTCAAATTTGCACATACACTTTTATGGTATATCCTAACAAAGGGAGCAGTTTTAAAATTATAGAATTATAATTTCATAATAATATCAATATATAAAAAATCAAAAAATTAATATATAATTTTACATATGCTCTAGGAAATATTATAAGAATTTAGGAACCTATGTCAAGCAGTATACTAGACGATGAAGAAGTCCTTACAATTCATTTTAACATTAGAAATATTACTGCATCATCATAAAAATGAAATACAGATACCTGTACCTGTCAATTCAGTGACTCACACATCCTGAATTTTACGGTGCCATCTAGTGGTCATAAATTTCACCAATTCTATTCTACCTATTCATTACGGTCGGTCGCCCAAAAATGTTTTGTTTTGTTGTTCTGTGGTCCTCATGTTCAAGCGCGGTTTTTATATGTGTTTTGTAGGTTAATAATTGCTTTTTTGGATTTAATTTAAAGATTGTTAATTTGTGATATGGTAAATAGTCTGAATACCAAGGTTATTTAATGTTTTACTTGAAAATAGTGTGGGGATGATGTATTATCTTTTATCAAATGGACAGACGACATGGATATAAATGAGCTGCTAATAACATCTTCGGTTTCATCCGAATCATCTGCTTGTTTATGGGATTACAATACATTGAATGTGCGTAAATTGTTCAAAAATGGGGGTGTGTTAACTTCAAAAGGTTTAGAAGTTGTTGGACAAGACTACATACTTGGTTCGGAGTTAGGAAAACCAATCTTACATGTTTGGCCATTGAACAGTCAAGAATGCTCCAAAAATACAAGGTATGAAATCTTGTATTTTACTATAACTAATATCTATATTTGGTAAACGTTTAGCATCTAAAGTAATGGAAATATTAACATTTTTGTGAAATAATTTATAAATATCTCGATTAACCAAATAATTTTAAAAAATTTGGTTCAAACAGTTATTGTCAGAACATATGTAGCTGCCAATGTAATAACTTTTTTATTTTTTTTTAATTTCTTGCTACCTACTGCATCAGATTTTTTTATTTTTAATAACCTATTGTAAATTGTTATTAAACATTTATCAACACTGTGTCATAGAAACCAAACAGTTTATATACAAAATATGTTATTTTTTAGGCTAATTTTGCCTGAAGTGGCCACATGCCTAGCTCTTTGTCCGAGAAATATATACTTCGCAGCAGGTATTAATTGCAAGGTATACGTTTGGCAGTTAACATCTGGAAAACTACTATCCGTTCATCAAAAAAACTACCAACCAGTAACCATCATAAAATTTTCGAGTGATGGTGATTACTTGCTAATAGCTGGCCAAGATGGAATGCTCGTAGTCTATAACTTTGCCGAATTGGTTAATTTATCAAATAGTTTTTTAACACAAACTGATATTGGACAAGTTGAACCAATTTACATAAAAAATGATCACTCAATGCCGATAACAGATCTTCATGTAGGTAAGTGCTAAAACAATATTTGCAATATTTTTAACAAATTTTTGTATTAAAATATCTTGGCATTATCTAGATAAAAATTAAATTTTCTGCTGAGTCCGAAAGTGATAAACGGAAAAGTTCCTGACCTATAGATTCCAAAAAGAAAAATTCCTGACATATGGATTCGCCCCACACCCCCAATTCCCCCCAAAAATTCAAAAAATCCAAACAGGCCATCCAACCTACTGATACTTAGTAAAATTTTCCGCTGAATCCGAAAATCATTAAAAAAAATTCTGATGTATGGTAGCATACGGAAGGTATTTTCTAAAATGATTTAGTATTTTAATTCCGCAATCAATCGAGATACGAGTTCAAAACCTGGGGCTACGTCAAGACATCTACCAATTCAGGGTAAATTCTAAACCTGGATATAGAAAATACCTACCTAGCTTAAAGTGCTTAAAGTTACTTAAGAACTTAAGACATTCTGGAAAACAGTAAGCTTTCACTGAAAAATTTCAGGATAATAACCATAATTTGTAAATCTATCTTTTTGAATTTTTGGGTGGAATTGAGGGTGTGTGGGGGAGAATCCGTATGTCAGAATTTTTTTTTATCATTTTCCGATTAATTACCTAATCCGTAATAAACACATTTTTATTTTGTGTAAGTATCAAAAGTGTTTCTAACAACACGTAAGTAATTCAAATTGTTTTCACTAGTGTAAATGTTACAGAGTGAAATAGTGACTACTGCTCGCATTTCGTGCATGACCGGCAGCACTAATTATAAGAAGGTGTATTAGGACTAGAAAATTAAAATTAAAACCCAGAATGGCACTCTGAAAAATGTCTGAGACAGCGCGAATATGCGAAGGGTGAGCCCTTGGAACCGGGATGATAGGAAAGTATTTAATCTAGATCTGGATGAGAGTTAATATTAATTAGCATACGGGGCCGCGTGTAATTCGGAAACACAGTCAGCACTCACTGTAAAACTCGAAAATTCGATTTTGACTAAGTGTTATCAGTCGGATGGTGACCCAAACGCCAACGTCATAAATAAGCGACTTGGAATTATTTAGAATCACCGCCGACTAATACATACTAGTAAATATAAAATTAACAAACTATTATTATATATACATTTTTTTTTTATTGCAGTTACATAACACATCAATAGATTATTTATTTTCGTTCGCCATTGTCAATGCGCGTGCGTTTCTGATAGATGTAAAATTTAAAAAAAATCCTGTTTNATATATACAGGGTGCTCCTTAAGTAATTGTACATAGAAGTATGATAGATTTGTGACTTTAAAATATTACGATTTGAGCCAACTTGCCTTAATAGAATATTGATAATAAGAAAGATTTTTGGACATTTATACAAAAAAAAATTATCTGGGGGTTTTTTCGTATGAGAAATCATGATTTGGTATCTAATTTAATGTATCTCTTAGAGGGCGCCACATAAGCCACATGTGTGGCATAAATGTACGCTAAACTTTTTTGCCCATCAAGGTAGCCCTCTTTTGGGAAAAAAATATTAAAGGCACGGCATTGTAAGAACAAAAATGTATACTTGTTAACAACCTTTAAACTTAACGGTTTTCGAGATAATCGAATTTTAAAAATTGGCTGCATAATTCTTTAATTCATTACGAGAAATAGTAACGTAGTAGACGGAAGTCACAAATGATTTTAACAGCTAAACATTTTTGTTTTCATAATCTATGACATTTGAAAAAGTTTTAATTGAATATTTCAGATAATTAGGGAATAGCAGAAAATGCCGAGACAATAATTTTTCTAATACAGAAATTAGATTTGAAAATCTATTTAGGAATTTAGGCGAAAGTTGTTCATTTCGTCCCAAACGTGATAATTTAGGCCGACCGAGAATCATTACGCCTGATCAAGAAGATGAAATTGGTTCATGTTGCAGATGATCTTAAAGTTAGTACAAGAAGGTTATCTTCAGCTTTAGGAACCAGTAAAACTTCAGTTTTAGAAAGACTAAACCTCGATAAATATCACCCCTACCATTTTACGCCTGTGCAAAATTTATTGCCAGCAGATCTACAATTAAGAACCAATTTGCAAGTGATATCCGAAATAGGCAAAATCTTGACCACACCTACCTTTACTAATAGAATATTACTTACGGACGAGGCAACATTTAGCCGCCGTAGTATTTTTAATTTGAGAAATAATCATATCTGGGAAATTGAAAATCCTCATTTTAAAAGAGAAAGACATTTTCAACACGAATTCAAAATAAATGTATGGTGTGGGATCATTGGCGACCATTTTTTAGTGCCATACGATTTCCCGCATACTTTGAATGGTGAGAACTACTTACATTTTTTACAAAATTACTTCATTGATCTTTTGGAAGAATTGCCACTAAATTTCAGGCAAAATATGTGGATTATACAAGATGGTGCACCTCCTCATTATATGAGAGAAGTCAGAACATATTTAAATACCAACTTTCCTGAACGCTGAATTGGTTGTGGTAGTCATTTCCCTTGGCCAGCACGTAGCCCAGACTTTAATCCTCTCGATTTTGGCGTATGGGGCGCAATTAAACAACTTGTTTATAAAAGTTCCATAAATACTCACAACCAACTTTTGGACCAATCATATTATTTAATAGGCCATCTTTTATGGAACGTATGGATAAATGCATCGAAGAGAATGGTGGACATATCGAACACTTACTTTGACATAATTAAACCTGTAATGTTAGTTAGCTTAGTTTTTTATTTTCTTAATATGTGTAAAATTCATTTCTAATTATGATTATTAAACTTATAATTTAACTGCTTTTATTTAATTTCTATTTTTTTTGTAATTTTTGATGTCAACTCCTAGGTTACATCAGTATTCATCCTGTTGATGTAAAAACATGATAAGCGTATACGACTTCTACGTTAATATCTCTCGTAATGAATTAAAGAAGAATTATGCAGCCGATTTTTAAAATTCGATTATCTCGAAAACTGTTAAGTTTAGAGGTTGTTAACAAGTATACATTTTTGTTCTTACAATGCCGTGCCTTTAGTATTTTTTTCCCAAAAGAGCGTTACCTTGATGGTCAAAAAAGTTTAGCATACATTTATTCCACACGTGGCTTATGTGGCGCCCTCTAAAATATACATTAAATTAGATACCAAATTATGATTTCTCATAGCAAAAAACCCCAGCTAAAATTTGTTTTGTATAAATGTCCAAAAACGTTCAAGTTATTGCGAAAAATAAATTTTGAAATTTCACTTTTAACACCCTGTATCTTTCTTATTATCAATATTTTTTTAAGGCAAGTTGGTTCATATCGTAATATTTTAAAGACACAAATCTACCATACTTCTATGTACAATTACTTAAGGACCACCCTGTATATATTTTTTAATCGCAGTTGCATAACCAGTGCCGTATTAACCGTGAGGCGCATGAGGCGCGCGTTTCAGGACCCGGTGGTCTCAAGGTCCCGCTCGCACCCGACCACCGCACCGTTCCGTCAGGAAATTTTATTCTTTTTAAGTAATATTTTAATAAGTTTTTTAGTATCCTATACAAAAAAAGTTGTTTGTACTTTTCATACGACATATGTTATCCCTAGTATTTTTGCATCCTGATGACGAATCCGGTGTCAGAATTGAGCTATCACATCACATGAATTTCCTAATCTCAAAAAACAGGTAAAAATATCAAAAATTCACGAAAAAGTGCTAGGAAAAATACATTTTTTTTTTCTATATTCAAATGTTCATTTATATGGTTAAAACCCCGCCGAACGTGAATCCGCGGTCAAAATTGATGGTTCTTTTTCTAACATCAAAAAAGCAGGTCAATTAAGGTCAGATATCATGAATTTTTAAAAAATAACAGATTCGCGCCAAATTTGGTATACGGGAGCTTTCGGAGTCGCTGATCACGGATCCGAGGTCAGAATTGCGAAATTCATTTTGTAATATTTTTGTTTACTTTATAACCTGAGTACCCAATCATATTTTAACCTTCTTAAAGTAGGTACATAAGTAATTGATTAAATTTTTAAAAACGAATTTTGTAAATCCGATCTCGGATTCGTGATCAGTGACCCCGAAAACCCCTGTATATCAAATTTGGAGCGTATCTGTTATTTTTTGAATATTTGGTCTTCCTTCTTGGCTCTGCCATCTTGAATTTTGCAAAATGACCTCGGATCTATGATCAGCGACCCCGAAAACCCCCCGTATACCAAATTTGGCGCGAATCTGTTATTTTTTGAAAATTTGTGATACCTTTTTCTTTGTGATTTTTTTTAGGTTGGAAAAAGAACCATCAATTCTGACCACGGATTTACGTTCGGCGGGGTCTTAACCATAAGAATGAACATTTGAATATAGAAAAAAATTTTTTTGTATTTTTCCTAGCACCTTTTCGTGAATTTTTGCTAGTTTTGACCTGTTTTTTGAGGTTAGGAAATTCCTGTGATGTGATAGCTCAATTCTGACACCAGATTCGTGATCAGGAGGCAAAAATACTACAGATAACATATGTCGCATGAAAAGTACAGACAACTTTTTTTTTTGTGTGGCGTGTTGTCAGAAGCTGTAAAAATACTTTTAAATCAGTAATTTTCCAAATATTTTCTGGGTGACGAACCCCGCCCTGCACCCCACTCTCGATTTCTATCCTATATAGGGGCCCCGCCAAACCCTTGCGCCTCAGGGCCTAAGACACTGTTAATCCGGCTCTGTGCATAACACTGCATCAATAGGTTATAAATTTTTCAAAAATGCAATTAACTGATTAAATTACGCCACTAAAAAAATAAACACTCGAATTAACAAAAAAAATATTGATTCATTTCTGAATTATTACCAAAAATATTTTTTTAACTTCGTAAGTAATTCAAATTGTTTTCACTAGCGTAAATGTTACAGAGGGAAATAGGCTATAAATTTTTCAAAAATGCATTTGGATGATTAAATTACGTCACTAAAAAAATAAACACTCGAATTAACAA